GGAATATTGTTTTCATTCAAGCTTTATTTATACAGGTTAGTCTCATTGAGCAACATGTTTTAGACACACCACAGATTTAAAAAAAAAAAAAGTACACAACAAACAGCCATAAAATGCATATAAAATAAAAAGTTAAATTAAAAATCAAGCTGCATTATGAAACGATGTAAAAATACTAAAAATTAGGGATATATCTGCATTGATTTTTGCATTGAACTTAATTGTTTAAAATCTTTTAGAGGTCAAAAACGGCTTCATATCACAAGATATTTAAAGTATTCTGTAGCTTAAACAGCACACAGTGCCAGAACACAAGTTTAACAAAACACTGACATCAGTTGATAAAATCCCAAGATTGAAAGACCGTTCTCGTTCCGAGTTCCACGGTTTCGTTCCGTGGAAGACCGTTCCCGTTCCGGTCGTGGGGGCAGCAGCTTGAGCAGGGAGGTCCAGACATCTCTCACCACAGCCACCTCTTTTAGCTCCTCTGGGGGGACCCCAAGGAGTTCCCAGACCAACCAAGAGAGTCTCTCCAACATGTCCTGAGACTTCCCCAGGGTCTCCTCCCAGTCAGACATGCCCAAAGCACCTCCCTAGGGATGTGTCCAGGAATCATCCTTACCAGATACCTGAACAACCTCAATTGGCTCCTTTTGATGAGTCTACTCAGTCTCTCCCAGATAGCTGGACTTCTCACCCCATCTCGAAAATGAGTCCAGCTACCCTGTGGAGGAAACTCATTTCGTCCACCTGTATCCGTGATCTCATTCTTTTGGTCACTACCCAGAACTCCTGACCATCGGTGAGGGTAGGAATGTAAACAAACGAGTAAACAGAGCTTTGCCTTTCAGCTCAGCTACCTCTTCACCACAACAGACCGGCACAGAGTCCACAATACTGCACCAATCCTGTCAATCTCACGCTCCATTCTTCTCTCACTCGTGAACAAAACCAGAGATACTTGAACTCCTCCACTTGAGGCAGAACCTCACCCTCAAAGAGCCAAAGTCTTTCAGCGAGTTTAAACATTTGACCAAGAAATGTACATCTAATATCAAGAGAGCCAGTTCTCACTTTTTCAAAGTCCAACTCACACCAGTTTGATAATAAAAACTCACTTACGTTGAAGAAAGCAGGGAGCTCTTTCTCCAACAGATCCTTCAGCTCCTTCTTGTTCAGTTTATATTTGTCACCTTCTTTTGCTGAATAGCTGTAGAAAATCTTGATCATGTCCTCAACGGCGTTTTGCAGAGGAGAGCACATTTCAGACCTGCGACTGAAAAAGCAGGACGACATCATCAATGCAGTTTCAACAATGTGGATTTTAAAAGCAGCAGTTTTATTGTTGGGAGGGTTTTCATTGATTGGGAGGGATGTCTTCGGGAGTTTTATGGACTCTGTTACAGCTAAAAACAAAAAGGAGAAGCTAAATTAACTTTGTAGATAGTGTCTTACCTGCTGCAGAGATGACATAAGAATCAGAAATGGATGGGGAAACCTAAATATACAACCTCCTACTACCCTCATTTTGTAGTTAGTTTAATTTGGGAACAGACACAAACATCTGCAGCCACACATTTAGATATTGGGTGAGGAAAATGAAAAAAGTGGTTAGAAACATTCATTTGCAGCACCACTGAAAGGGGAAGAGTAATATTCTGTTTTAATTCAGGAGACAGAAAACAATGCCTGATGTTTGGAAGCACAAGTGCAACTTCACTTCTCTACTTCTGCCAATTCCCCAATTATTTGTGTTTTGGTTATTTAAATCGCTTCTGCCCGGTACTTCCAGGGAACCAGTAGGAACATTTGAGTGTCCAAAGCAAAGCTGATGTTAATTAAATGCACCATTTCAGTTTAGTGTGAACATCTGAAGAAAAAAAAAGTTAAAGACTTCAGTTTGTGATGCACACATACAAACATATTATAAAAATGATTAAATTTAAAAAGCACACAAAAAAAAAAAAGTCTGACAAAAAAAAGTCCCCAGCAGGAACTCACCTGGACGGCGTTGCTTAAAGGTGAATGTAGAAGTGGGTTCTGCTGGGCTCTGGTCTCATCACTTTTATTGGTTTCCACCTGCGAGCGAACAAGCACTTCCTACTAGAGGCAGAATTAAACCCCAAGCTCCGCCCCTAAATGTTATGACTGGATACTTTTTGAAAATTATCTGCTCTTAAAATGTAAGTAGGCTCAAAAATAATAACTTTTTTAGTTTTTTTTTTATATATATATATTTTCCATAGGAATCAAGGCATCATTCCAGAATTGCGCCGCTCAAGGTGGCTGCATGTTGGAGCAGCTCTGTTACTTTTATTCTGAGATTTTGCTTTTGGAAACATTAATTCCTCTTTTTCTGGATGTAAATCACTTTTTTTTGGATGATTATTTCCTCTGGTATCAGATGCTGTGCAGTTGGAAGGATTTTTACTGAAACTTTTTTAGTTTTGGACATTTGTTATGCGTAACCATGGCAACAAGGCCATTTTCTACAACCAACAGCAGCTGATTAACATCTCAATGGCTCAAATAATATCTCAACTACAGCCCCAAATCTCAGATGGGTTGAAAAGGATGTTCTGTGGATGCATTCTCATCTACCTGCCAGCTTTGCTCGAGTGCCTGACCACTGAGATCCTGGAACTAGCAGGAAATACGGCTCATGACAGCGGAAGGACAGGATTGTCCCTCGGTACCTACAGTTGGCTGTCCGCAGAGAGACGGAGCTCGGCAGACTGCTGGGAGGAGTGACCATCGCTCTGGGAGGAGTTCTGCCCGGCATTCGGGCGGTCCTACAACCCGGGAGAACCTAGAGGCCAGCCGAGTCTGGGTGGACGGATCGGACGGCATCTGCAGCCAGTTTCTTAAGATCCACTGTGGGATGGACCTTTACAAGAGATCCTTCTGGTCTACAGCCATCAGTCTCTATAACATCTCTTAATGAAATGAGGATAACGAGTTACAACAACAAATAATTTCTCTTTGGGATTAATAAAGTATTTTTGAATTTGAATTTGAATTGAAGTCATTTTTCCTTAATTCCCACCACAGTGAACTAACTCTGACGAAGGCTCGGCAAATGTTTTTATGCCAGCTGCCCTTCCTGACACAGCCAGACACCGAGCTACCACAGCCCTCTGTGTGGAGCGGCGAGCTGCCATCTAGGGTGCCCAGGGGAGCAGAAGGTGGGGGTTAAGAGACTTGCTCAAGGGCCCAGAGTGACGCAAATTAGGGTGGAGGTGCTTCACCTTTCCCACACACATTATAATGCTGTCAGATGGGAGAGTCAAACAGGCGACCTTCCGAGCACAGACTCGCCATCTCCAACCTCTGGTCCACCACTCCCCAATTTACCTGTGATAATTTACTCATCTATAAAGCATTTTGCTTTACCTGCTTTATCCTTTCCGGATCAGAGTGGACCCAGTGCCCGTCTTCAGTGGTCAGTGTGAGAGATGAGGTGTGTTCTGCACTGGTTGCATGTCCATCACAAAGCCCTGGTGTTATCCAAACTGACAGCCAGCTGTTGTATAAAGACTGCTTGTACTTATAAAGATGCAAAAATGTTTAAATAAATTGCAGTTATTGAGATGCACCCCCCCCCCACCCCATAATGCTTTCAGAGTTTTAATAAAGGTTTTTAGATTTTTAATGACACGTCCATTTTTAGATGACACGAAGAACTCAGACTGCTCGACATGAAATGGTTTTGGAACAGGTTTGATCTTGAGGGGTACCAGTTTTCAGGGGAAGGGATTTGTGCAGACTGGGTCCATGGATTCAGGACTGAACTGATCCATGCGTTGAGTGTCACACTGTCTATTTTTGGCTAAGCTTTTCTGATAGAATGTTTACTCATGTGCTCCAGAAGATGCTGATTGTCTCAATAACGGATCTTCATTTGCTGATCCATCAGGAAGGTGCATTTGAATAAATAAAAATCTGTGCATAATTCATGTCCTTCCCTAGCCAAATGAATGTGCCAAGACCAAGAAAAACAGCCAATTTGCTTGTAAGATGAAATATGGGTTGTGAAAGAGGTTGGTCCTAAAATTCATCCATCATCTTTACCTGCTTCTTCCAGAGAGTTACTGGTGCCCATATCTGGCAGTCATTGTGTTAGAGGTGGGGGACACCCTGGACAGGTAGCCAGTTCATCACAGGGACACAAACCATTTGCACCTAGGGACAATTCGGTTATCGGCCTAACATGCATGCTTTTGGTCTGTGGGAAGAAACTGTGGAGTACCCTTAGAAAACTCACGTGTGCATGGAGAGAACAAACTCCTCCCAGAAAGTTCCTTGGCTGGTATTTGATCCGGAGACCTCCTCACTGAGAGGAGACAGCTCTACAGACTGCACCACCGTGCCGTCCAGTCCAAATTGAAACAATACTTTGTCCAACAATAACTTAGCTTCAGTGCAGACTGAACTTGGGGGGGGGGGCCTTTTCTTACTTTGCTCCTGCAACAGGAACTGAAGTTGTCCACCTTGATTTCTTTAAGGGTTTTAAGCATTTGCTGATGTCAAAATGAAAACTGCACTTTCCACTACAATCTGTGCCCTCATGTACCCATTCATACATCATTCTACTAGATCTCTAGATCTAAAAAAATAAATAAAAGGCAGAGATGTTTGTTATTTCACCTGGTTTTATGGTGACCTTGATTTATTGTTTTATACACTTTAAACTTCATTTGTACTGTAGTTTGTTATAGTTTACCGTCATCTGTACTTTACATGTTCTGGCTCAGTGAGACTAGCATGTATAAAGAAAAGGTTGAAATAAATAAATCCTCACAGCTATATCCTGATGCATGCTCAATAATCCAGGTAGAAAAATCTAAAAGGCCTAGGCCTCACAGCTATACTTCGCACCAAAATAAAATCATCAAATTAAAGTGCTGGGGGACGTCACGGACGTGTAGAAAGTACATTATGAAGCAGATCGACGTTAAAGGTCAAAATTTCCTAAAACCAAAAGACTTATCGGGACAAAATTGAGTTGTAATGATTTATTTTGCATTATAAATTACTGTTACAATTTCTGGAATGACTTCTCTTATGGACCTGTATTTAAAATTATGTAGAGACTTTCGTTTCATCATTTCTCCCCCACACACATTTTTAATGGCCTCATTTTATTTTGTGGTTCTTTTTTCCTTCTTAATAAGGTCCACAAAGAACTCATTGCAAGCAACAGTCAGTGCAGCTACAAGAACAACGAACTCCTGGAAGTCCACTTCACCATCTTTGTTTTCGTCCAGGTCCTGCATGATCTTCTCAACCACAGCGGTATCATTAGTGTCCTAAATTAAAAAAAAAAATAAAATAAGTGAGATGATTACTCAACATTTTTTTTTTCCCCAAAACACTCAGATTTTTATTTCTGCAAGTGTGGAATCATGAGATGCAGCATATAAATGTAGCAGGCGTGTGTGGAGATACAGCATGAATTTACAGTGCAATGAGTAAACTTAAAAATAATTCAGTGGGGTTAGACATTTTGACTGTTAAACATGCATCCAAAATACAAGAGTGGGGAACATTTGAATGGTTCTCCATTTTAAAAAAACAGATTACTCCAACCTGTTTAAGGAAAAAAAAAAAAACCTGAATGAAGAACCCCCCACTTGGACGTCCTCAGACTTTCATTATACTCCCTCGTTACGCAAGACAAGCACATCTGTGCACATCAATCATAAGCCGACTTTGCCAAGTTATTTAGCTTATCAGTATACAGTCACTTGAGAAACTTTGTTCCCAGACAACACATTCCCATCAGGTCTTTTTGACTGGAAAACCCATTTCCAGATTTGGTAACACTCTGCATCTTGTTGGAGTCTTCTGAACAAGTGATTGACACGCATTTCATAAAAACTCTTCAATCCTGCAAGTCAACTCACATTCAGGAAATCGGCGAGTTCTTCTTTAAACATATTCTTCAGCTCGCTCTTGTTCAGCTTGTACTTGTTGCCTTCTTTTCCCGAATAGCAGTAGAAAACCTTGATCATGTCCTCCATAGCTCTTTGCAACTGAGAACACATTTTGTAGTCCTGTGAGGAAACAGGAAAAATACATAGGGTTTGACACAAAACTAAAATTTTTGTTAGACTGAATTACAACCATGAACTTCTATGAAAAGATGAGAGCAAGGAAGTGCTTGAAGTTGATTTTATGATCGAATAGGTTTAAGCAGTTCTAAAATGTGGAAAAAGCCAACGTGGTGAAAATGAGTTCATAAATGCCGCGGTTTTTATTCTTTAATACGTTTAAGAAAAAAGATGGGGGGGGGGGGGGGGGTTGATTTAGGACACTAGAGACGACACCAAATGATTATGTTGGCAACATTTGCACAAACAGTCCAATATAATTTATCAGAAACATCAATTAAGCTCCAATTTAATTATTTTTATGACCAAAGTCAATAGATCTTGATTTTATGCATGATGTGTACATGGATATATTAGAAAAAAAAAATTTAAAGTGCCAAAAATACACAAGTATCAAACACTTGAAGAAAAACTTAGGAACAGTAGGATTGCCATCACAAAATTAAACAAGGAAAGTGCGTATATGAAATGTGCACCGTCACTGAGGTGCAAATATTTTCTTTAAGTCAAGAAGAATAAAAAAAAAAAAAAAAGTTTAACTTTTTGCTTTTCTTTAAATAAAAAACAAAAAGGAGAGTCATGAATGAGATGAATCACTTTAAATGTATAACTTTACATCTGTCCTTCATTCTGATACCTGAGAAGCAGATGCAGGGGTGCAGAGTCATTTAACCCCCACCTGTGTGGAGGACAAAAGGCCAGACTCCCCCCCCCCAGATGGCAGCTTGCACATAAAGCTGGTTTAAATTGTGCTTTTGTCATGTTACATAATCAACCTGATGCCCTTAATATACAGGACTGATTTCAAACAGGTCATTTTACATCATTTAAAAACTGTTGTATGATTTAAAATATTCAGATTAATAATTCACAGCTGAAGAGTGTTCAAAAAACAGTTTGGACACACAAAATACAACTTAAGTTTTTAAATTTTGCAGATTTCCTTAGTCGTTTGCAATAGATCCACCTAATCATCAAGTGGTGCATTCAGAAACCCAATTAAAACCTTTAAAACAGCAATGGAAAAGCTAGTGATCCAATCACCTGTTTTAAGTCTTCAGTGTAAATTTTCCAAAAATGTTACAAACTCCAGATGAAAATATTGAAAAGACATACAAAAAATATTTTTTTTAAAAAAGGCAAGAAACTCAGCAGGAACTCACCTGGACAGTGACAGTGACAGGTGCAGGTAGAATTGGCTCTGGCTAGCTCTGCTCTCATCAGTTTTATGGGTTGCCACAGGTGAGTGAACAAACCTGGATCAGGTGGGCGCCTCCCACAGAGCACGAGCAACGACAGCTGCTGCACAAGTGAGCTGCAGGCCATGTAGGGCAGTTTAAGAACAAGCAGACAAACTCACTGCATTTCATCTCCTAATAAAGAGATGCGGAAACCTCCTGTACTAAATATGACTAATAATGTATTTATGTATTTTATATTTCAATTTATTTCTGTTAATTTTTGTACTGTGCTTATTGTTTGCTTTTACACAATCTTTCTGATATATTTCTTGCTGTAAAGTGTTCTTGGGTGTCCTGAAAGGCGCTTTTTAAATAAAATGATGATGATGATGATTACTATTATAACAATAATTAGTGTTTGAATATGGAACATGTTGCACTTTAAATGACAGCAAAAAGTCTTACCTTAAGTAGATACAGAAGACTTATACATAAAAATATGCTTTAAATAATCGAATCATAACATTTTCCTAATATTCATAATTTGTTAGTGAAACTAAAACAATCTACACAAATAAAAAATGGAGTTTTTTGATAATTGATAAAGATTAGTACACACTTCTGTGCATTACAAAGACAAAGTGATATTGAATACTAAAATAAATACTGGAAAACACATTTTCTCTCACTTTTAATGTTTTAATTGTGTCAGAATATATGCATAAATAAAAAAGGTAATTTGCATTTATTTTTCTATCTGTCATTTACTGTGGGCTTTATAAATGTACGCACACAGTTGGTTTACAATTTAACATGGAAAACAAAATTTAAAAAAGACCTTATATCTTTAAGAACAGTATTGTAAAGACATTACCGCTCCTGAGATAATTTGCAAAAACTAATCTTCTTCATGCAAATATGCCTTTATGGCTCTGGCAAAAGAAAGGTGCTCTCTTTCAGTTTACTTTTTCATAAAAGGAATTACTGCAAGCACACCTGGGTGTTTTTTACTCTTATCAAGACACCAGACACTGCTCTTTTATTTGGACTTATTCTTAAATAAATATCTACTGACATGGTGTATGAAGTCATGATCACTTGAACGTTTCTGAAACAATTTTAAAACCTGAGGAGGAACTGCCAATTACCTGACTGGTGCACTTATATGTCATTGTTTGATACGTGTTTTTAACATTTCTTACAAAATGCTATTCTCTATACATTTTTTTCAACACAATTAAGTATTTTCTGTTGACATTAGATCATCAGAAGTTTAACAATTTGTTCCTGATACTCTCTGAATGTAATGTTAAATTGGTTAATGTTCATTTAATTAGGGAAACCCTCAAATCGTCTCAGCTCAATTTGTTTTGTAAACTTGGTTTCAAGCAAAAATTTATTTTTTAGAGTATTTTTTTGTTATCATTTTTTTTATTGATAATCATCCTGATTATTAACCCATAAAGTTTAAAACAATTTACACACAGCTGTTACACATTCATAATAATATTTTAATTATTTGAAAAATATTACAACAATACTGTGGTATACAATGACCAGCATTTATAAAACAAAATAAAATAAAATCAAAAAAATCAAAAAGGCACATACTGCATTTTTAATATATGCCTGTGTTTAAGTTGCTTGTATGAAAAAGCAAATGCATCTTTATGTTTAATACAAAATACATTCAGCACTTTAAGTTAATAGTTTTCGCTCCATGCCATTAAACTTTACATGATTATTATACTCCTCACATGTGTGCTCTGTTTAATACCATCCTGTTTTTTCTTCTTTTCACACTTTTTGATGGGAAATAGTTAATATGATTCTCAAACAGTGACAAAGATGCACAAATAAAGCCAGGATCAACGGTGAGTTTAAAACATCCAGGGCACATATTCACACATATTCAAAGAAAAAAGTCAAAAATCACAATTCAAGTCTGTGCTCATTTCAGCCAAAAATTACTGAGACCCTGAAACAGCTCCTGTTGACAAAATACCTCAAATAAAAAAAATAAAAATAAAACTATACACAGTTAAAGTAAACAATAATGTTTGATTATTTATATAAAATAATGCATTTGTGAATGAGTGTGTATTATGATTGCCTGTTGTTGTTATTATTTATTTTAGTTGATTAATTTGTGCTGCTGCTGTTTGTTTGGTAGTTACCACACAACCCTTGTACTTTTACTATGCCAATAAAAGCATCTTATTGTATAATAAAAAATACAACCCAAAAAAAGTTTCATTTTTTTCATCTCCAAGGATAAAAAGGTCTATACGATGCATGACGTCTATCAACATTTGTACTACGGTTGTGCTGCAATATTTAACGTATTTCAAGGCATTAGCAGTTTTATTTCTTGCAATGCTGTGATGTCAAGTTTTTCAGTAGATCTGCTGCCTCTAGTGGTCAAACATCTTTAGATCATGACATTTTATGACCCTCCACAGTGACAAGATATGGTTTTGAAAAGGGATTTGTTTCATCTGTATTATGTGGTATGGGGGGAAAATAAATTAAAGATACATATCGCTTTGCTCATTTGATAATAAGTTTATTTACTCATATTCACAATGATGTTTTACTGATGTTAAGTTGAGAATCTTCAGACACTTGTTTTCTTTTGCTGTGGTATACAAAGGAATGTTCACTGAGCAATATAGCTTTATGCAACTTGGTTTTCTGTAAAGAAAAACAACTTAAGAAGTATTCTCGCCCTTCACCCTCAAGGTTTTTCTCCTCTTTCGGTAGAAAACACCTTTTGTTCTAAGGTTCTGCCAAACTTGTTGGAAAAGTATCCATATTATAAATAACAGCTTGCCTTTTGACGAAGCAGACTCACTCTGCTGACTCTTGTTTCGCAGTGCGATATCTCAGCTGTACAGCCTAAATAAATATCCCAGACAAAACTTTCGCGTGTCCTCTTGTTTAAGGGAACATTTCTACAACAATTGTAAGATGTTTTAGTTTTTCAGCTGGTATTGGGATTAACATCACCGAGAACTCTTGAATGCAAATGAGTAGTCGTGTATCTTCAACCGCTCTGAACGTGTGCATTTCATTACAACGGAGTATCTGCCTGAAGCTCTTTGTCAGGCACTTCCAGCTCAGGAAGCCTTTCAAATGGAAGGTAAAACAACTACCAAACCAGGAGCAGTGGCTTTTATTCATGAGCAACACTGCGTCTGATGTAAAATGCCACAAGTTAACCCATTTACTTTCTTTACATTTCCTCCTTGCCGGGTTTAGGAAATATACGTGTCTATCTTGAGTGGTCATTGGGTGAGATAGGTCATGAATCCATTACAGCCCTACATAGAAATAAATAATACAGCCATTCATGCTCCCACTTACATCTAGTGACAATTTAGAATTACCAGTTAACCTAACATGTATGTTTTGGGGCTGTGTGAGTAAATCTGGAGAACCCCTCCAACCCTCAGAGTTTGTAAAACCCTAATTTTCACATTTAAAAAATCCAACACATGTATTATTTATGCCCAACGTGCACCAAACAGTACATGCAGTAAAACTTCATGTAATCAATCAACATACAAAACTTAACGATTCACAACATAAACCTCTAAATACCCTTAAAATGTTTCTTTCAGTAACCAGCTCTGAGACAATCTGTGGGAAAACTGAACCTAGTCCTTCAGTTTTGTGCATGTCTGATATGACAGAACAGCATGGGCTAAGAAAATTGTGTTATCAGAAAAAATATATGACGTTTGTTTTTTCTCCCGCTGAGAATATCACCAACCACCGAAGGGTAATTTATAGCGAGCTTTTGACGTCCCATTGAAAAGTGGGTAGTTGATTAACATTTGTGTCAAATGCAGGTTTTATAGTTCAATTCCTATCATCTCAACATAGTTTTCATTTTTGTTTTCACCTGGTATGTCCACTTCCACCACATTTTCCTCTACTGGGGGCCTAATCACAGAAATCCCCAGAGATGAATTCCTGCTCCTAATACTGTGGGTTCTTTCTTGGCTCATTGTCGGTTTACCCAGAACACTTCTTAGCTGTGCCCAGAAAAAAGGCTGTTGGTTAGCCTGCTGAGGCCACTCTAGGTATGTCTTCGTGCTCAACATCTTCTTCAGCTTGCAGTATTTGCTGGGCAATGAGCTTGGATCAATGGGCTCCTTCACCACTAGGATGACATCACTGAAGGTCTTTCCCATCGCTCTCTGCTGAGCAAAGTACAGCTCGTAGTTGCACCATTCGCTGTTAACAAAGTGCCGGGAGAGGACAAAAATTACCTAGAAAAAAAGATAAGAAATGGCATTAAACCTTATAGCAGCTTCACAATTTAGCCTGTTACCACAGGCTGAACTGTCCCTGAGCAAGATGCTGAACCCCTCATTGCCTCCGATGTGTGTCCCATTGGTGTATGATTGTGATAAAGCACTGATTAATCTTTGTGCCGATCTAGTAGAGAGCTGTATGAATGGATAAATGAGGACACAGATTGTGTTGTAAAACTCATAGAGTATCTTGATAAGATAGGAAAGCGCTATATAAGTACAGTCCATTTACCATTTACCGCTAATATGAATAATTATTACTAAATACTCTTGACAAACATTTAAACAACAACGTTCAATTTTTACCAACACTAAGATGGTACGTCAAAAAGTTGTTCAACTACAACAAACATATGAGCCTCTAAAGTCCTATTGCTAACATTCTATTTCAAGAAATAACAAACTTAATCTCAAGAAAGAAAGAAATGTACATTTAAATAATGTATGTGACTTCTGGCTTTAAGACTTGTACCAATAAATGATGTTTCTATGCCAAAAATACATTTTTGTACCTTACGACTGCTTTCAATGTTCTCAATGATGTTATCAATGATCCATTTCCCTGGCATGAAGTCTCGCTCATGAATACACAGTCGATAGGGGTTCCTGTTGTTCTCCAAACAAGGCAAGAGTTCGTCTCTCACCCAGTCAGCATCTGAGTGGCTATATGATATAAAGGCATGATAAGCAAAAGTCCCCAAATCTCCGGCAGCTTTTTCCTTGTGGGCTCTATATTTTGCCCTGATAATCTGATAAGTGGCCTTAGTGTACCATGGGAGGTCAAAAATATAGCAAATTAGTAGAAGTATCAAAATCACAGAGGCAGTAGTTGCAACACTGATAACGATAACCAGTCTGATGTCACAAGCCACCTGACCAGGGAAGTATTTTGATATGAGTGTGTTAAGGAAATCCTGAGGGTGGTAACACTTGTAGTTCCAAGGCCAGTCTGTGAGGTTAACCTTTCCTTTGGACATTGTGTCCTGGACAAAAGCATGAAGCTCACAAGTGCAATGGTAAGGGTTGTTTCCGGCTCTAAGCTGAGACAACTGAGGCATGTCTTGAAAGGATGCTTTGTTGATCAGACCAAAAGAGTTACCATCCAAAGCTAGATATTGAAGGGATGGACTCTCCCATTTGGATGGGATGAACTTAATTTTATTTCCACTCAGCAAAAGATATTTCAGGTTGGTAGTTTTTTTAAAGTATGCCGTGTCCAGTTGGTCTAGATCACAGTAGGACAGATCCAAATGGTGCATTGTGGTTGGAAGACAACGGACAGCTTCACTCACAAACTGATTGTGGTGAGCAATGAGTTGTGTGACATTTTGTTCCCAAACACAGCCCTCGCTCCCTTTAGCAGATCCCAGTTTGTTGTTGCTAAGATCCAACACATGCAGGTTCCTGAACTCCCTTGCTAGCAACGACAAGTCCGTTAAGCTGGTCAAGTCATTGGTGCTCAGGTTGAAGGTGTGCAGATTTGGCATGGTGCCCCTGTAATCGCAGCGTTTGTTGTAGAGAACGTCATCATTCAGCCGATTGTTGGAAACATCCAGAAACTCCACACCTTCCATCTCGGTCCAGGAGTCACAAGGAACACTGTTGAAATACACGTACTGAATCGAAATCATCTTGATTTTGTTGAACCAGGTGAAGCGCCAGTCAAACCGCAGCACATCAGGATTACTTATATACCTGCAAGAAAGGGAACCTTTTAGTGTTGTGGAAAATAAATACTGTTTCACACTGACATTATCAGCATACTCACCAAAGATCTAATCTATCCAGTGTCAGGTTTGTGATGCTTGAACCTGCTCCATTATTGACAAATGTTGGTGAACGGGCAAAGTCGATGTACTGAAGTCTCAATTTTTTAATAGGGGTGCCTTGTAGGTTTATTAAAGCCATTCTTAGGATATTCTCATTAAATTTTCCTCTGTGAAAAATAAGCTGATGCACTGTGATGTATTTTAAACCCTGGAAAATGTCTTCCTCGCCCATGTAGTACATGAACTCAAAAAGGTTGCGAAACTGAATGACTGCTATTTTCTTGTTGGCCAGATCATGCAGCATGAGATGCAAAGCACGGGGATATTGATCTATGGCCATATCAAAGCCCATCTGTGCCGTCTGAATCACTTCTAAACTTCCAGACTCGTAGTAACTCAGATCGGAAGAGCACTTTATCGCAAATGCTTGCAATGTGATGTTTCTCAGGGGTTGGAAATCTTTTTTTTTCAGACCCATCACCTGAGGGCCTCCCATAGACAGAACCTGGAGATTGACATACTGAGAAAAGCTATCTGCCAAAGTGGCATAGTTATAAAGGTTATTGGACATGTAGAGTTTTTTTAAATTCAAGAGCGGTGCCAAAGGTATAGCAGGAATTTCTTGCAGTGAGTTATTAAAGATGTCAACATGCTCCAGCAGTGTATTAGTTTTAAAGGCATCGTTGTCGATGTTTGAAATGTTGTTGAACTGCAGCTGAAGGACGCGCAGCTGAACGAGGTGCTGGAAGTCAGTAGCCTGGATGGCAGGAAGCTTGTTGTAGGAGAGATCAATGGTTTCAAGAGTGGTTGGAAATTGTTTTCGAGGTACACGGTCAAGCTGTCTTCCATGGCAGTCTGCAGACCGGCCAGAGTTGTAGATCCGACAGGGTCCAGACTCCTCCGTGATGTTAGGAGGTGAAGATGGAGAGAAGGAGGAGAGAGCTCCGATAAAAAGAACACTGAGATAAATCAATTTCCAAATCATTGTGATGGATCTGGAAAGGAATGAAAACATGAGAGATTAACCTGAATCCATATCTTTTAATAACACAGTGGTAAAACTCATGATTTTTTTTTTAAATGAGTATTTTGTATTTTTCTTCGCCACTCATGCTTGTTAAAATAACAATATATATATACACTTCAATAATGCTATAGGAATGTTGGGACCAATTGTCAGCCTTAAAAACAAATATTACTACTCATAGATTTACACTGTATATCTCAGAGAAACATGGAAAATCAATGTATATTGAGTAAAGAGCATATTAATTTAAACATTTGACGTTTAAAAGTACTTGAAGCCAGGCTATAGTCCTGATAAAGAAATTCTTAGTTTTCATCAGTCAGTTTTATGTTTATGATAGTTTTTCTTCCTCCCACCACACATGTGAACAAATACATTTAAATGTGAGATAAACTGTGCAGCATGTCTTTGTTCCTTGATAAGACAAGTGAATAGCTTAATATTATTCTGTAAAATAAATTAAAAAAGGGATACTGTCAGATAAACTGTGTGACAAGAGAGAAACTAATTATTATTTTTGTTTGTTTGAATAGTTTATTTTCCAGTGAATTATGTTTTTTTAATTACTGAATTAAATATATATATTTTGCAAGTTGTATTAACCTAGTAAAATGATGAAAAAGCAGTTCATTGCACAAATTCAGACACTATTTGCATTCATAAGCAGAAAATCTGCAGCATGATTTATGCTTTTCTTGGAAAGTATGTTTTTAGTAGTTTGCACATTGTACACTGCAAATCACTCATACTGTGTTACCTGCTTAAGACCACTAATGCAGTTTATTTTAAAATGATTCAGACTTCAACATATTTTTCTAATAACTAAAATCTTTACATTATTTTAACCCATATGTAAAGAAAGACATAGGCGTCAAAACACCTGCTAAACAAACAGCATTAGTTTTAACTGGCTGAACTGAATTAAAGATTTTCGCTCAGACATGGATAGTTATATTTAAATTATCAATGCAGATGATCCAGATTAACAATTTACTTGATAATTTGATATTGATTTGACAAGCAAATCAAAAACTGTGGTAGGAAAGGTGTATTTTTCACGTCTGATACCAGTTGTGGTGCGTGCAGTAACACGACAGATCCAGCAGGGGGAGTATTAAACTGCAGCTATTCAAAGTGACCCTGCTTCTTCATAAACTCATGTAGGCAGACACAGGTTTGTGTCTATGATTCACTAATGAGCCCCACATTAGAGGTTTATATATCTAGGCTTAGATTAAAATGTAGAAGAAAATGTTTTCATCTCACATTCTTTCTTTACAAACATAACTTTTTTTAAGTGGTAAAAATGGCACATAGTTTTACTGACTCCATAAAAGCCAAGTCTGATTTTCTTATCTTTCATTGCTGTTTATAGATCTAGTTTACTAATCCAGAAAAAAAACATTATTTTAGCTTTCAAACAAACATCAAATATGCCAATCTACAACTATACCTCACACAGAAACAAAACCTCAGATGCATCCAGTTATAAACAAACACTAAGTTTAAGGTAAATATTCATCACTTTTTTTACTATGTATTTTTTATATTCACAAGTCAACAGTCTCACTTCAACATACACATAAGGTCAATAAAACCTGCATATCTCTTGAAGCGTTCTGTGTTTTTAGTTCATGATGCTCAGCTGATTTCACAATAACCTGCACAGAAGCTTCTATGTAAATCCCTGTCGTGGAGACTTTTGAACAAAATAGTTAAATTTTCTGCCAGGTTTATGCAATATTAGCAGGGCAGACAAACGATAAAACATCCTGAGGGGGAAAACAAATGGTTTTCTGAGCAAAAGCTTTTACAAATCCTGCCATATTTAACTGTTGACTGATTCGGACTCAGTCAATTACTTAAGTATTGTGTGGTATATGATCAGTACGCTCCTGCAAAACCCTCCACATATAGTAACATAAATAAATTGAAATATAATCACAACAAGAATCAGCAAGTCAGAGTAAAAGTACTCTTGGTTCAGAGTACAAATTATTTGTGTCAGGGCTGGAGCAAATGTAGTCAAACTGTAGCTCAGATGAAGGAGGGGAATAAAAATCACATTTTAACTCTTAACCTACTGTCACTCATTTCAAACAGGAATGGAGAAAACATCTGTAATGTAGCTCCATCCATCCATCCATCCATCCATCCATCCATCCATCCATCCATCC